TGATGGGCCAGCCACAGCTTTTCTGGGCAACCTGTGCCAGGGCCTCATCACCCTCACAGGGAAGAACTTCTTCCTGTTATCTGATCTAAATCTCCCCTCTGTCAATTTAAAGCCATTTCTCTTGTTGCATCCCTACAGGCACTTGTCAGAAGCCCCTTTCCAGCTTTCCTGTTGGCCCCTTTCGGCACTGTTAGGCTCATCTAAGGTCTCCCCGGAGCCTTCTCTTCTCCAGGCTGAACAAGCCCATCTCTCTCAGCCTGTCTCCATAGGAGAGGTGCTCCAGCCCTCTAGCATCTTCGTGGCCTCCTCTGGACTTGCTCCAACACATCCCTGTCCTTATAACACTGGGGGCCCCAGAGCTGTATGCAGCCCTGCATGGGGGGTTTCATGAGAGCAGAGTAGAGGGAGAGAATCCCCTCCCTTGACGTGCTGGTCATTCTGCCAGTGATGCAGCCAGGACATAGTTGGCTTTCTAGGCTGCAAGTGCACATGGCTGTGTATTGTCAACCACCACCTCCAAGTTCTTCTCCTCAGGAGGCCTCTTACTCCAGTCTCCACGCTGCCTGTATTTGTGCTTGGGTTTGACCGCAATGTGAAAAAATGTGTCTGAGTGTTCCACTAGCATGTGTTTGGTGCCCATGTCACAGCCTCTTTAGCTCCTGGGTGGATGCTGCTGACCCCAGCAGACTTTAACCCCTGAAGTTATTGTCCTTTGGAAATCATGCTGGGTACAGAGGGCTTCAGAGTCACCACATTTAAGCTTTATGTGTCTGATCACAGCTTCATCTTCTTGTGTAATCACAGCTAATAATTTTGTCCTGTGGCAGTGTACAAAGGTGCTACTTCTGATCAAAGGGAAGGGTAAAAAAATATATCAGGCAATACTGTAAAATGTTCTTTGCTCAACTGAAGCATAATTTAGAACTGCAGAAACAAAATTTCTGTGCCTGGAGTCTGTAATATTTATTTTTAAAAAGCAATTTAATGTAAATTTCTGCTAGGTTCTAGCAAGCCCTGATGTCTGATTTGCTTGGAAAAGGAATAGATCCTTCCTTCAAAAGTCACTTACCTTTTCCTTTTTTTAGAAAAGGCTTTATCCTTTTAGGTTTTTTTTTTGTTGTTGTTATTGTAAAAATAATTACTCTTCAGCTAAGGAGACGCCTTCATCAGTAACGGCCTTTCAGGATATTGAGCATCAAATTTCTCAGAGCAATTTTGAGACTAAAGATGAAAAATTAATGTGATGGCAGAAAAATAAAACTAAGATCCCTAGTGCACTATGCTAGTGCTGGCATATGGTGCAGGAGTGCACAGCTTGAAGGTCACGGTGAGCATCGGTTACAGCCCAGCATGGACCAGGCCTGTGAGCCACCCTCTGCCGGGCTGCAGGAATGGCAGGGCTCAGTTTGGCTTATTCATGAGAGCAGCAAGTACCAGTCATCACTGAAGACTAATTAATCAGTGTTAATTAATCAACTTCACTTAAGAGGCTGATTGAAAGCGTGAATGTGAAATCAGTTAAAAATTCAGGTATTTCTTCTTCTGTTGGTTGAAAAAGCATCTGGGTAGTAAGTAGTTGGGGGGAAACTGCATAGTGAGGTGGGAGAAGGAAACATGATGATTGTCTTCCCTTGCCTACAGCTTTTGTTTGAGAATAATTCTAATTATTTGTACGTGGGATGTCTCCTTCTTTTCATAGACTGTTTTCTAGAAAGGCAGTCTGTATCTCGCTCATTTTTGTGTGCTTGTATGAGATGATACCATAATTTTACGTTAAAGTTTCAAATTGACTGTACAAATATTTCTCCAAACTAGTCCTTAATCATATGTAAAAGATATTCTGTTAGGGTGTGAGTGCTATATATTTCAGGATGGATTTTTTTTTTTTTTTGTCACTGAAGATTAGTTGATTTATTTACTTACAAGAACGGGATTGTGGTATCACATACCTGGTAGTTAAACCTAAATAAAAAATAAATCAAGTTGGTTAGAATTAGTCTAATATACATGTTCTTCAAATATTTTCAATAGCTATAAAACTGTTTGTCAAACCTTTTCTACCTGCAGAATCTTGCAGAGAATCTAGTGCTGTGCTCTGTAATCCTGGTGTAAATCTCATGAGAATAGTCATAGAGATTACAACCAAAAGCTGCAAGGGAAAAAATGTGTGGGATTTAATCATCTTAGAAAAGAACTGGATGTAAATTTGAGTCCAGCTAGATATAAAACCTCACAGTGGAACATTACAGCGCTCAGAGGGATTTATTTTTTTGTTTTGGTTGGTTGTTGGTTTTGGTTTTTTGTTCTTTTTTTTTGGGTTGTGTGTGGTTTGGTTTTTTTTTCTTTTTCTTTTTTAAAGGTTCCTGTTGTATGAAAATTATGTAGCCTGCTCATGAAGAATAAAGTTGATGCCCACATCCTAAAAGTTGGCTTTTGCTATTTTGTGTTACAGCTGTTATTTCTCGAAATCAAGAAGGACCTGGAGAGATGGGAAAGGCTGTGCTCATTCCAAAGGATGACCAGGAGAAGATGAAAGAACTGTTTAAAATCAACCAGTTTAACCTTATGGCCAGTGACTTGATTGCCCTGAACCGGAGTTTGCCCGATGTAAGATTGGATGGGTGAGTCCCTGCAGGATGATGTGCCTTGGTGCCATCCACTGAGCCCACCTCCAGCCTCCCTCCAAGGCAGGAGAGTTGTCTTGAGGTTAATTAATGGCTGTTACTAGCAGAGGTTGCCTAAGGAGAAGGAGGGGAGATTTAGATTGGATATTAGGAAGTTCTTCCCTGTGAGGGTGGTGAGGCACTGGTACAGGCTGCCCAGAGAAGCTGTGGCTGCCCCATCCCTGGCAGTGTTCAAGGCCAGGCTGGATGGGGCTTTGAGCAGCCCGGTCTAGTGAAAGGTGTCCCTGCCTGTGGCAGGGTGCGTGGAACTCTATAGTCTTTATATTCCCTTCCAACCCAAACCGTTCTAGGATTCTATGATTCTAAGGAACCTGTTGGAGAATGCAATAGGTTTTACTGGTTCCAGATTTGGCATCTAATGCAAGCTTTCTTAGGGAAAAAGTTACTGCATCACAAGCATTATTATCCTGTGCAATTTATTTTGCGAACAGCTGAAAAATTTGCAACTAGAGCTATTGATTTGCATTGCAGCGTGTAATAAAATGCCCTCTGGTGTGTCTTATCACCTGGAATAATTTAAATACTGTTTTCTTAAGGGAAAACTTTTATTTCTAAAGTTTTAAAAAGATAAAACCATCATTATCTACTTTATAGATGTTCACAGCTATGCTGTCAGCTTTTAAAAGTTGGCGTTTTACTGCTGATAAAAAGAAAATGCTCCTAATACCAAAAAGTACCTGTAGGATGTTGTTTTCTTCTAGCTTTATCAATAGACATTTCTGGCATAATCAGAGTTCTGTAGAACATCTTTCAAAATGTTTTGCAGCAATATAAAAGCTGAAGGGGGTTTTGTGGTTGAGGTTTTCGGGGGAGGGGAGGGGAAGGGTGTTGTTTTGTTTTTAAGTGTAGTAACTTATTATTTTTTTGAGTGGAGCCTGATGTTTGTGTGGTGACTTTGAGACTGGAATAGCTTGGGGTGAGGAGGAGGGATGTCCACTGAATTTTTTTTTAAGGGAATTTACAGATCAATTTTTGCAGTCACAACAGTGGGCTTGTGTTTGCATGTGTATGTGATGTGAAAGTACAAATAAATGTGTTTATTTCCATTTAAATGAGGATTCTGATGGCTATCTAATTACCCTGTAACAAGTCACAGTACTTTAAAAAAAACAAAAAGTCTAGCTCTGTCGTATACATTGTTTTCAGCCAGAGAATTTCCTCCTGTCTCCCAGGAGGCTCTCAAGCAATTTTATTTAACCTGAAAGTTTTGCATGGAGGATTATCTAAACTTAGATACTTTTGGAAGTAAATTTTTAGAGGTGGGATTTTTTTTCTCCACTTAATTTTTATAGAAACCTAATGTTGATTGAAATTTATCTTTTTTCCAGTTCTTTTTTCTTCCCCTGTTCTCCTTCACCTGCATAAACGGACTGATTTATAGGTACTGTAGCTTATAACAAATAAAAATTCAGAGAAATATAAGTATATATATTGAGTATATACAAGTGGTCAGGTCTTCTAAAATCTCCCATTAGTTTTGCTTTTTAAACTGAATTGTCACTTACCTGAAATTCTACTGCTTTGTTTGAAACAATCAGGTTCCAAAGAAATTGAAAATCAAATAAATACTTTGTTTACTGGAATTTATTTGTAAATGCCTGCAAATAAAAAAAGTAGAAGCATTACCTTACCAACAGACCGTGTTCACAGGGAGCAGAAGTGATGCTTCCCCACAACGTGATCATTTGTAATTCAGTCCATTCTGGACAGCATCCTCCTTTTCGCTGTTGGAAACACAGTGTGTATTGAAGGACCCAGTGAGATGATCAACTTCATGGGCAGTTCTGATCAGTCTGAGGGAGATGAGCCATGTAATACCAAGAGAAATCTGTCTGCATGCATTCTCTTGATGAAAAAGTTCTGTATACTTTTTTGAAAAGACAGAATCATCATAGAATCATCACAGAATGGTAGAGTTGGAAGGGACCTTAAAGATCAGGATCAGCCCTGAGGAGCTCCGTGTTACTGCTTGGATGTTGGCAGGTTGTGCAAAACCTGGGAAATGGCCAAGCTATCCTTGTTTCTGCGATGGTGCTGGGGGATTAAAGGAATGAAGGGCATTTATACAGGACTAATTAACTCCTGACATGACTTGACCTTTTTGTTGTACCTATCTCATGTTAACATTTCGCCATGTGTAAATGGTATTTTTGCATTTCTCTGAGTGTTTGCCATGCTGTTAAGTTGCAGTCTCCGTTCCCACAGCTGGTGCAAGCTGAGAAGGGTTCCTGCACTGTCAGGGCTGTACGGGGCTCTCTGCTGTGGAGAGTCAAATCCACTGGCAGCAGTCCTGAGCATGGCTGCTTCTCTTTGTCTTGCATGAGAGGACCCTCATAGATACAGCAACTCCCAGTCCTTGGCTGGTTTAAGACTGAGATATTGGAAAAACAGCTGACTGCTGCCTTCTCCTTCTTGCTCCTGATGGTGTCAAGTGTAGGCTTAAAGCAGAAAATGATGTGTCTTCAATGAAAATAAACCTCAGCTTTCCCATTATTCCTGTGTTCAGAGGGTTTTGTGAATTCCAACTGTGGTTTGACCCCAAATGCAAAATATCAGCTCCTGTTGAGATTCCCTATTGCCTTTATATCTCTGTGAGAATTATTTAGATTTGTGTGTTAAAATATGATGCCCATTTTGCAAATGAATGTCTACAAATATATGTAGAGAATTCTGATAAGAAACAAACAGCCCAAGAAAAAGTTGAGTCTTGGTGTAATTTCTCATTCTACTGGTTGACTCTTCAGTTATGCTACAGTACATTTATTGGCAAAGCCAGTGGGAAGAAGGCAATGAAAGGGACATAGTACACTGTCAAGGTAGCTTGTTCATTGTTATGAGGTGTATATATGTATTGTATATATATAGTATGCATGATATACTTTTTTATATGTTATTTTTCTATATATTATATAATCTATATAAATATATATATACATATATACTTGTGTATATATAAAGTTATATATATATTTATGTGTGTGTGTGTGAATCAGTCCATTTCCATTCTGTTCCTTTTCTGGCCTTCATCATTCTTTCTCCCTCTTTGTTCCTCACTGCCTTTTTTCATCATGCAGGCAATTTTCTCCCATCTTCCCGATGTGGGTGCGCAGGTTTCTCTTGCCTTGCCAAGGCTGCTGCTGCCTGCACAGCAGTTAACATGTACTTCTGGGAGTTAGTCTTCAGTGTGCAAACTTGGAGTGAAGATCAAAGATGCTTGTCAGTCCTCCTTGCTATCCTCCAGAGCATGGTACTCTATCCCCGAGTGGCAGATAGTAGCAGGGCTCTCGCTGTTTAGGATTGTTGCTGCTGTTGTGCCTTCAGATGATCAAAGCAGCGCTGTGGTGAATGGAGGGGGGGTAGGTGTCATAAGAGTCTGCATAAGAAACACATATTTCAGTGCAAAAAACATCTGAGAGAATGGTGGGGTTTTTTGGTTTTGTTTTTGTTTTGCTTTTTCCACATTAGCAGATGAAAACGCCCCTGAAACATTTTATGATTCTGCTTCTGATTAAATGTTATGACTGTGAGCTAATTCTGAGTTTAGACTGCAACCACAGTACAATCACAAGTTACACTGCAACCACCGTACTTGTGTTTGTAAGATGGAGATTTTTTCCAGAAAGAAAAATGTTAGATTTCTTAAAAATAGTTTCATTTTGAGTTGCAGGAAGACAAGGAAAGCTGAGTTGGTTGCTGGCTAATGAGAAATTCCCTTTACAGCGTTGTGAAATAGGGCTTCTGTCTCTTGTCAGGTTCTTCTTCCAAACAGGAGAGTTTAGGAACAGACCTGGTGAGAAGTCCCAACCTCCAGGGATTCACTGGAAGTTTGCTCTGACTTCCATAGGAATGAGGTGTCTCATCAGGAGACCACAAACCTCCCTCCCATGTGCTGTAACGAAGCAGTGTGGCCAAGTCCCAGTGCCACTGTCACACTAACAGTCTAACTTGCATCCCTTTGCATCTTGTGTTACCTACCAAGGAATGTCGCTTGATTACCTGAGTTGGTAATGGGCAACTTGAAGATTTTAATCAGTGTCAGGTCTAATTTGAAATAGCTATTGAGTCAACCTCAAACTCAATTTAATTCAACAGAGAAATGTTTAATTTTATTTCTGGGTATTTTCTCTGGCAAGGGAAGAAATCCATCTTCAGTCTTTTCTGGATGAGTGAGGTTGCAAGTGCTATTCTGCAAATTGCTAAACTGTAATAATTGGATTTTCTTACTGAAATTTAGGTTGAAGTTAACTATTGCATTGTATTTGTGTGTGTATATGTGCTTAGGAGCGTACATTTTTTATCAGAAACAAACTCTCGTTACGATTTTCTAAGTAGTAATCTTAAACTTGGTGCTGTAGTTTTGTGTTGGCTTCTTTAAAGCAAAAACCTTGGCAGGTGATCCTGGGGTGGGGGAAGAAGCCTCTGAAGAAGTGGTGTAGAAGTGTAATTGCTCCCTGTGAAAATTGCCTATGTGAAGCATCTGTGAAAATTCTTTAGTGCCTCAAACTCCATGTTACAGGGCAGGAAGCTTTGATTAGATGTTTTTCATTTTTTTTTTTTTTTTTTTTTGGTGAGACCACTATTTGTTCTTTATGCAATTTAGCCCTGAAAAGGGGGAGGGTAAATTGTTTTATTTTGTGCTATTCACATCTAATCCATTTGTCTTGCCCTAGAAAGTGTTGTATTAGGGTTTTCTCCAGCTCTAAGTCATGGTGGATGGCAGTATGTAGGAGGTCCTTTGTTGTCAAGTTTATCTGCTTACAGCTTCATATAATTAAAAGCTAATTTATTTTTTAAGGGTTTACTGTGTATATACAGTTACGCACAGAGAATCGGTAAACCACTCATGAACAAGTAAACTCAGGGGAAAATCGGTAATTAGTTTAGGCTAGAAAATACTTTGAAATGACAGTTTAGAAATTATTCCACTTTGTTTGGTG